CGCTGCTCATAGCTTGCGCCCCCCGCCGCTCGTAGCTCTCCGCTGCTTGTAGCTCATAGCTCTCCACCACTACTAGCTCATACCCTGCCCGCCCGCCATCAGAGCTGCTGCTCATTTGGTTGTGATGGCATTACGGTGTGATGGCTACAGGCCTTTTATATAAGAGATTGCTTTTTCTGATGGAGTCAGATGGTTCTCTTGAGCTCTTTCATTTTTCTTTATGCCCAGGTCTCTCTCTTCTCTCTGCGTCATTTCAGGATTTCTGTCCTTGTTATCACTAATTCTTTCCTCCATCTGGTTGGCTCTGTTTTTTATGCTCAGTAGTTCACTCTTTTTTTTAAAAAAAAATATTTTAAAATATGTTTTTATTGATTTTTAGATAAAGAGAAAGGGAGAGGGAGCTAGAAACATCAATGATGAGAGAGAATCATTGATCAGCTGCCTCTTGCTTGCCCCCTACTAGGGATCGAGCCCACAACCGGGCATGGGCCCTGACTGGGAATTGAACCCAGGACCTCTTAGTCCTTGGGACGATGCTCACTGCACTGAACCACACCAGCCGGGCCTCAGTAGTTCACTCTTAATTGCCTTAATTGCATGCTTCATTTATATGATTTCTGATTGGTTCTTTTTAAAATTTTCAATCTTTTTGGTAAAGTACTAATACTTGTTTTCTTTATTGATTGGTTTTCTTTTTTTAAAAAATACTTTTTATCAATTTCTGAGAGGAAGGGAGAGGAAGTGAGAGATAGAAACATCAATGATGAGAGAGAATCATTGATTGGCTGCCTCCTGCATGCCTCACACTGGGGATGAAGCCCGCAACCCAGGCATTTGCCGTGACCAGGAATCGAACTGTGTACACACTCAGGCCTGCCAGGCTGATTTGTTTTCTGAATGCATTGAATTGCCTGTCTGTATTTTCTCGCATCTTTTTACATATTTTCAGAACTGCGGTCTGGAAATATCTGTCATGTATATCACATATTTCCATGTGTTCCAACTTGCTTTCTGGTGATTTTTCATTTTATTTCTGATCATCTTCATTACCATGGTTATTCATGGTATTTGATGTTCTTCTTTGCCTAGGAACGTATATCTGTCTATCAATGGCCTTCTATCTAGCAGCTTTCTCTGAAGAGGTTTTTTACTGTTTTCCAGTAGATGGCGCTGAATCACGTTATTATTATTTTTTACCTCTGTAATCTCCCAAACTTGACCTAGGATTCTTTAAGACAGTACAGCTGCATTGCTTGGGGGTGGGATTTGTTTTGCCCTCACTGTAATAGCGACCCTTGACTTCTGTAAGGTGCTACCCCAAGCACCCCACAAAGGGAAACAGCGGATCTACTGCAATAGTTCTTGATTTACAGACAATATGCTCCTCGACCTAACTCCAAGGGCAATGGGAGGTGTTTTGGGAGTCCAAGCGGTGGCAGGGCTCTGTGGTTCCATTTCATGGTCTGAAACACCACCTCCTGGTTCACAGTGGAGAGCTGCACAGCAGAACCCTATGCTTTGTCAGGCATTTTCTGGCTCAGACACTGCTCAGCTTGCCCTGCTGGATGCCCCCCGCATCTCTCTGTTCCTCTTAGACAAAGGAAGCACCTGCTACTACCAGTTTTCTCCCCTCTCCAAGGCTGCATCTGTAGGCCATTTCCGCTTTCCTCCCTTGTCCTCTTCCTATTTATTCCGTTTCCCACCTTCAAATGTTTCAATGCACAGGTCTCTCAGGCATGTGTCTGTATTGAGCAGGGATTTCTTTGTTGAATTTCTTTGTTGGATAACTAGTTGAAATTTCAAGGGGAGAGGCCAAGAGGATCTCTCATGTCGCCATTCCTCATCTATGTGTTTTCTAACAGAGCTGTAGTAGAATCAGCTTATCAAAAATAACCTTTTGGGATTGTGATTAGAAGAATACTGAATTTATTAATTAATTTAGGGAGAATTGAAATCTTTACAGTATTTTTTTCTGTCCAGGTATGTGGTATGTGTCTTCAGTTACTCAGGTTTATGTAATTTTAAAGATACACACACACACACACACACACACACACACACACACACGCACATACACACATTTTTTCCAACATAGGTCTTTTTTCTTAAGGTTAATAGAAGATATTGTAAAGTTTTTATTGCTATTATGTATGGGACCTTTTTCGTGGCATTTTCTAACTGACTATTATCAATCTTATGTTCAGCTACCTTTCTCGTATTAGTTTTATTTGTTTTCCTGTTTATTCTCTTGGATTTTCTCGGAAGCTGGTCATATGATCACCATATAAAAACAGTTTTGTTTATTTTCTTCCAATACTTTTCCCTCTGATTACATTGGATAAAAAATGTTCTATTGTAGGAGTGAAAGTGAAAGTCTTGTCTTGTTCCTGATATGTTTTTACTTTTTTAAATCAGTAGGCTTTATTTTTAGAGCAGTTTTAGGTATGCAGAAAAGCTAAGCAGAAAATACAGAGTTACCATATATTCACCCCACTCTGCCAATAGTTCCCCAATTTTAACACCATGAGTTGGTGTTGTACATTTGATAAAATTATTGCTACATTATTATTAACTAATGTCCAAATTTTACCTTAGAGTTCATGTTTAAAATTAAATTTACTGAGGAAATATTCGTTAATAACATTATAAAAGCAACAGTTGTTCATAGCAGTTGTTAATAACATTAACATTTATAGAAACAACCTTAAACAAACTTAATTCTGATTTTAATGGGACAGTGATATTTAAACTATTGAGTGTTAGCCAGGGAAATAACTCTTCTGCTTTGTTGGTTTGATTGTAAATTGGTACACCCTTTTTTGGAACAAATTAACGGTATATGTCTTAGGGCCTTAAAAACATACAGCCCCTTCAACTCAGCAGTTCCATTAAATAACTAAAAATGTATGCAAAGATATAACTAGAATATTTATGAAGTGACCTTTTCAAATAGCCAAGTTAGAAACAGCTTAAATTTTCAATAGCAAGGAACTAGATAACTAGATTGTGTTCAGTTTACTTAATGAAATAACATATAGCCAAAAAAAGTGAGTTAGCTTTACACATAATAATATAGTGAAGAAATACTCAGGATGGCACTGGCCAGGTAGCTCACTTGGTTGGAGCATCGTCCCATACACTAAAAGGTTGCCAGTTCAATTCCCAGTCAGGGCACATACCTGGATTGTGGGTTTGACCCTGGTTGGGGCATGTACGAGAGGCAACTAATTGATGTTTCTCTCACACATTGATGCTTCTCTCTCCCTCTCTCTCTAAAACAATCTACACTAATAAAAGACAAAGATGCTAATTGACCGTACCTTTGCTACCCCCAAGCCACACCCACCAGCCAATCAGAGCGATTGTATGCAAATTAACCCAACCAAGATGGCAGCGGGCAGCCATAGACCTGGAGCAAGCAGGAAGCTAGGTTGCCCCGGCGATGGAGAAAGCCAAGCTTCCCGCCTGCTCTGGCAGGCTGTGGCCTCCGCAAAAGGCAACAAAATTTCAATTATAGAAGCTAAATAAATCCCAGATACCTGCTTCCAGCCAGCCTCCACTGGGAGCTTGGGTGGCTGGGGGCTGTGGCCAGCCTGCAAATAGCCATCAGCCCCTCACCCAGACTGGCCAGGCACCCCAGCGGGGACCTCCACCCTCACCCCAGGGGGGACCCCCACCCTGAAGGGGCTGTAGCCAACCTGCAAAGAGCCATCAGCCCCTCACCCAGACTGGCCAGGCACCCCAGCAGGACCCCCCACCCTGAAGGGGGTGTGGCCAGCCTGAAAACGGCCCTCAGCCCCTCACCCAGGCTGGCCAGGCACCCCAGCGGGACCCCCACCCTGATCCGGGACTCCCTTCAGGGCAAACTAGCCGGCCCCCACCCATGCACCAGGCCTCTATCCTATATAATAAAAGGGTAATAAGCAAATTGACCCGAACAGCAGAGCGACTGGGAATCACTGGTCACTATGACACACACTGACCACCAGGGGGCAGACACTCAATGCAGGAGCTGCTCCCTGGTTGTCAGTGTGCTCCCACAAGGGGAGCTCTGCTCAGCCACAAGCTAGGCTGACGGCTGCCAGTATAGCGGTGGTGGTGGGAGCCTCTCCCGCCTCCTCAGCAGCGCTAAGGATGTCCGACTGCAGCTAGGCCTGCTCCCCGCTGGCAAGTGGACATCCCCTGAGGGCTCCCGGGCTGCCAGAGGGATGTCTGACTGCCAGCTTAGGCCCAATCCCCTGGGGAGCGGGCCTAAGCCAGCAGGTGGTCATTACCCGAGGGGTCCCAGACTGCAAGAGTGCACAGGCTGGGCTGAGGGACCCTCCTGAGTGCACAAATTTTTGTGCACCGGGCCTCTAGTAAGAACATATCCTCAGGTGAGGATTTTTTTTAAAGATGATCATGATGTATTATTAACTGAAGAAACTGGTTGTAAAGGAATATGTACAATATATACAGTGTGACTCCATTTTAAGAAACCAATTTAAGTATACATTTTTGGAAAGGTATATTCTGAAATGTTAACAGTGTTTATCCTTCTCTGAATGGTGAATTTATAGGTGAATTGCTGTTTTCAGTTTTTACTTGACTGACTTTGAAGTAAGGGGAAAAGTAATCTACTTTGAAACATTTCAATAGAATAATTTAATTCAGTCATATTTATTAATTACCTATTGTGTGCAAATCATACAGAAAAGTATATGACCTAGGTCCCTTGCTTCATTCACCATTGAACTCCAAGTCTGTGTCACATACTGGGAACATAGAGATGAATACTAAGCAGTTTTTGCCTCATTTTTACCTCAAAAAGATTAGACTCCAGTGAGGAAGTCGGCTTAAAAAAAAACAGGTAGTTACATTAAATATGATAGATGCTGTTATAGAGAAAAACACAAAGGACTGTGGGAACACAGAGGCAGAGCTTAAAATGTAAGAAATTGTGTTACTAGAAGTTCTCCTTGGTTTCTAGGAACTGATATTATTAACATCTTGTTCTACAGGCTGTGTTGTCCCCCAAACTCTGCTAAGAAGCTTCTCGGCAAGCCTTTTGTCCTGAGACAAGCTGTGCCTGTGGATCTGTTCCCCCACACCCTACACTGTGAGCTGGTGTTCCTCTTTACTCGATAAGAAGCCTCCTATAAGATGGTGGGCTCTTCATTAAGGCTGAAATTTCATTAGCTTTCAGGTTTGGCATATTGTTACATTGCAGATCCTGAGAGCGTTACTGGGGAAACCAATCTTTGGATCATGAGTAGGAAGAATATAGTAAACCTTCCTACATGAGCCAGATTTATTACTTTTGTTTTCAGCTTCCCTTATTTTCATGTGTGTTTGTTTGCTGTGACCACTCCTTGGCCCTGGATCTGGACTGTTCCTGTTGTTGTCAGCCTGTCCTGGCTCCTTGGTCTGAAAATGCCTGTGGTGTGGTGCAAATGAGCTTTTTTCAGCAGCTTATAATAATGTCACATTGTCTCAGGTCTCTGTATTTGCCCAGAGATTTTATTAGATACTAGAGGCCGGGTACACGAAATTCGTGCACGGTGGGGGGGGGGGGGGCCCCCCAACCTGGCCTGCACCCTCTCCAATCTGGGACCCCTCGGGGGATGTCCGACTGCGGGATCAGGCCTAAACCGGCATTCGGACATTTCTCTCACAATCCGGGACTACTGGCTCCTAACTGCTCACCTGCCTGCCTGCCTGATTGCCCCTAATCTCTTCTGCCTGCCAGCCTGATCGCCCCCCTAACCGCTCCCCTGCCAGCCTGATTGATGCCTAACTGCTCCCCTGCTGGCCTGATCCCCCCCAACTGCCCTCCCCTGCCGACCCGATTGCCCACAACTGCCCTCCCCTGCTGGCCTGATGGCTCCCAACTGCCCTCTCCTGCCGGCCTGATTGCCCCAACTGCCCTCCCCTGCTGGCCCAATCGCCCCCAACTGCCCTCTCCTGCCAGCCTGTTTGCCCACAACTGCCCTCCCCTGCCGGCCATCTTGTGGTGGCCATCTTGTGACGACATCACGCAAGGGTGTGCCGCCACCTAGGCTTTTATTATATAGGACTAGAGGCCCGGTGCACAAAACTTGTGCATGGGTGGGGGGATGTCCCTCAGCCAGGCCTGCACCCTCTCCAGTCTGGGATGCCTCGGGGGATGTCCGACTGCCGGTTTAGGCCCGATCCCAGCAGTCGGACATCCCTCTCACAATCCGGGACCACTGGCT